AAAAAAAAAGGAAAAAGAAAAAAGAAGAAAAAAAAGAGGCTGGCCATGTGTGACCGGCTATTCCCCAAATCCCCATTTCGGCACTCGGCCCAGACCTTGTCTTATTAGAAATGGGAACGGAGTGTGACTGGCGGCGTACTCAAAACCGCAAATCCGGCCTTCCCAAATCCGCATTTTTTGGGAATTTGGGGTCGCCGTGTGAGTATGCCCAAAATCCCAAAATTTGAGTCATTTTTCGGGTCACACTTGAGAGGCTCGCTACCCAAATGTCTCAAACGGCGACCCTTCTGTCAGCGGCCTGCGGAGCCGAGGGTGGACCCTTTTTGAGACCACCTCCGGAGGTGGTCTCAAATTACCTTTCCTTTTCTTTTTTCTATGTTTGCGAATTGAAGAGAATCGTAGACGAAGAATACAGCCCGCCAAAGAACTGAAAGTGCGACCAGGAACATTTACAGGCCCACGCGTTATACTGGCGTGAAAAAAATACTAAAAAAAAATCCATCTTTTTGTTTGGTCCTCCCCCATGTGACTGGGCGCACTTGCCCTGAGTGCAAAGGGCATCGCCACACCACTCTCGAAATGTGCAAAATGAGAACGAGCTTTCCGCTAGATCATGGCCAGATGCACCCTCCACATTTTTGTCTTTTTCACATTTTGAGTGTGGTGTGGCGATGCCCAAAGTGTCAGGGTCGCGACTTCGTCCTTTCTGGACGAAGTCCGCGCGTGCGACCACACGGGGACCAAATGCCTCAAAAGCCCCGAACCAAATGCCTCAATTTTTTAAGACTTTGGTCCCCGTGTGAGTATGCCCTTAGTGTGAGTATATCCACAATTCATTTTCAATTTTGCTTTTATGTGTGCAGAAATGTCTGGATCAGTTTGTAACTCATGAAATTGTGTTGGGCATTCATGCAATTCTGCGTGAATGGTAATCCTTGTTCATAATTTTGTTCCAAAATGCTGCAGAAGTCAGAGACATGCCACGGACTACCTGTGTGTCGATAAATGATCTATATTGCATGATCCGGACGAAGGCTGTTTTTCGTGCAGGATCATGCTCTTTTCTTTATTTTATTTTATCAAACCAACAGTTCACATGAAAAAAAAAAAAAAAAAAAGCCGTGCTCTTGCTCTTACGGTTATAGCCGATGAGAGCAATCGCTTCGGGCCTGGGCTGGTAGTCAAAACGGCAGGCCACTTTGAAAAGGCACAGTTGGAGGCTCATGAACCGTGGAAGGTAGCTTCATCAACTTAGGCCCATGTGAACTGGTGGTTAAACCACCAGTACTTGGGCACTGCGCGCCGCGCCGGCCGCCCAAATCTTGAAGCAGCGCGGGCTGTCGATTCGATTTATCGCCGGCCCGCCGGCCGCGGAAATCGTGTAGCGTTAATGCTAAGGCGTCGCCCAAGTACTGGTGGTTTAAGGGTCGCAACAAGTAAAGCAACCTCATGCAACCACCACAGGAAGATGAGAGTTTGGACCATTTATCTATTTGTGGATGTCATCCTTAAGCAGGTGCATGCCAATTTTGTCTGTATTGTTCCAATTTTAATGGATGTCCTAAAAGATGAGCAAGCGATCGAGCACGCGCGCGTGAGAGAGAGAGAGAGAGAGAGAGAGAGAGAGAGAGAGAGAGAGAGAGAGAGAGAGAGAGAGAGAGAGAGAGAGAGAGAGAGTTATTCTTATCTGTCCTTTTCATTGTGTGTGTGTGTGTGAGTGTGCATTCTTTTTCTGTTTGTATGTGAATGGGGCACGCATGTGTGTGTGTGTTACATGACTGCAGTGATTTGTGTCCCACTGCATATAATGTGTTCTGCCTTGCGAAGTTCGATTGTTGGGAGCGATTCGCACCTATTGGCATCCTGCTTGGAGGTTTTCTTGGATGTAAGAAGTCTTTCTTAATACCTATCCATACATACATAACTGCTTCTCATTTCATTCTTTGATGGGTGACTTTTATCCAGTTTTCAATTGGGTGCCGTAAATTTTGGAGACCCGCTTGATGTCCCCGATTATGCGATCCATTGGTCCTTTGTCCCGTGGACTTCTCCATTGCTCACTCTGGCCAAGCCTATTTTGTGGAAACCGTTGTCCGGAGGACCTTGGACATGCCACACCTTGAGCCTCGGCGATGGGTGGGGTTTTGGAAGTGTCATCCGGGGTCCTAGCGTGGAGGTTGGGGGTCCGTGTTGGCCACAAGGGGCTCAACCCCTAGGATCCACTGGGAGAGTGCTGGCACCGCCAGCACCTTTCTCAGCCACTTTGTCCCGTTGTGGCCATTAACACACTGCGTCCTTTGGGGCTCAGCAAACCTGAACGAAATTATCTGGAAGCGCCCGGTAAGAACACACCATTTTTTTTTTTGTTTGGCCGTGCAGCACGAATCTGCATTGGGAAAAAGAGGCCCTGAAGCACTGGTGGTTTAATGGTTAGGCTGCTGGGCCATTGTATTTCAGTAATTGGGGCCTTTTGGGAAGGGGGTGGGAGAGTGGGGTGGTAAGGTGGCCAGAAAGGTAAGGGGAGAAAGGGGTCTTGCCAGCTAGTTTGAAAGGCTTATAGAAATTAATGGAACAGATTGTCTGCTGAATAACTGATCCTGAGGAGTATATTTCTGCCATCCGCGACTCTCAAGGGCTGATACATGTCCATGTTGCTCAGATTTTTGAAGTTTGAACCAATTTTCTCAACTGTTGAATTACCAATTATGTGTTTGATGATTGATTCTCAAGAGTTCTTTTGCGCTATGGAATCGACTGTTGCGTTCATCAATAAACCAAAAATAAGATCTGAAGCAGTGTTTCTGTTACATGCCCGGTTGAACTCGCAAATGAGAAAGGCATCCCCAAGTTCCTGTACACATGCAAAGATGACAGATCTGATATGGACAGATTCACACCACACTGGAAAGAAATATGCACTGGGGGTCCAGTGGGGAGCGCGCCATAGGCAAGAAGAATTGAGTATGAAAAATTGTCCCTCTTCCACCATCCCAGTTCAACCAGAGTCACACAAGAGCGAAGAAGCACAAGCGACTCAAAGCGAGTACAAACCGCCTTGAACAACCTTTTTTTTTTTTGGGGGCGGGGGGGGGGGGGTGGGGGGGCGCGCGCGGGACCGGGCTAGGGAGACCTAGGGTGGGGTGATACGAGCACCTCCGCCTAGCTTCCACTGCCGGTGGGGAGCCGCAGCTGCTGCAAACCGGGTCCAGCGAAAACATAGAGTGCAACAAGCTCACAGAGACCCCTTCATCATAGCATCCTCATCCAAGTTATCCCCCACTTATCTGCCTATGGGGCTCATCCCAAACCCCAGTGCTCAGCTCTACAGGCCTGCGGACCACCAGCGCCATCTCAATAAACACTCAGAAGTAGCAGCGCCAGCCGTAGGATGAAGAAGGAACCTCCAGCTTGAAGAAGAAGAACAACTGCGGCCAGATATGGCAGCGCCTAGCCCCAACAATGCAGGTATGGCTGTGGCCTGGCTCGAGCAGGTGAAGCGCCTGCTTCACCTGCTGCACAAAAGCTGCAGCAGCGGCTCCCAGCTAGCGGAAAATCATCCATTCCTATAAGTGAGCCACTCATAGAATACAAGGAATTGGAGGAAAAACTTCGATCATACCAGGTAGGAAGATTCCTTTGTCATCACTTCATACATAGAAAATGATAGAATGTCCTCTTCAGAACCTAACAAAGTGTATAAGCCATTGCAATAACTTACAGATAAGGGTTGGATAACACCAAGACCAAGTTTTCCTCCCCATGGAGGACCAGTGTTGTGACTCTTTTCTTTTCTATTCTTTTCTTTTTTTTGTACCAGGCTCCGTCAGTTCTGGGGAGCTGCGGCCCGGTTTCTATTCCACCGGCAAGTCAAGAAGAACATGAGTACAACCCTGCAACACGCTTCCCTATGTGACGGCCCAAGGAACCCTGACGGAATTGATTGGCTCCTTTAAGGGGAAGGATTGACTGTTAGTTAAGCCCTTGCTTTGATTCAAAACCCCTCCCCCTAGCAATGTACTTCCCCCCCCTCCTCCCCGAATGAAACATTCTTAAAATGGAGTTCCTGAGTTGGCATCGTTCTTCTGCTCAGCACTGCTTCTGGTTAAACCCTAAACACCGGATGGTCCGGATCCCTGTCCGGGTGTCTGGGTCGCTCCTATGGGTGTAACACAAAACATATGTTTTGTTTTATTTCCCCCCACCCAAAAAACCCACCCACCCACGGGTGCACCATCCATTCTGGGGGGCAGCAGTCCGGTTGCTGATCGCTGGCAAGCATATAGGAAAGGAAAAGATACAAGTAGCGGAAAAACCCGGTTCCTGTTATTCAGCTTGACCATCAGTAAACGCCTGTAACTGGGAGACTCTCATGGTACCCAGCTATTATTACAGGCTCTTTCTCTGTGGGGCCGTGTGCGCCAGCTCCAACTTCCTTCCCCAGACCTCCCTCCAGCCCCCCCGAAAACAATCATCCTGTCATTTCTTTCCGTCGTCATCATCACACTTCTGTTTTAGGTTCAACAACAACAACCACAAGAACAACAACAACAACCACAACAACAACAACAACAACAACAACAACAACAACAACAACAACAACAAGATAGCTTATTGGCGGAAAACCCAACTAACGTAGCGATCAGCTCCATGACGACAATATCCTTGTTTGTGCGACAGTGTTATTTTGTTGTTGTGTTATTACCAAGTTGTGCGGGTGTTTGGGGTCCATCCTGCATTGTTTTGCATCCGTGTTTGAGCTTCTGTTCAACCTCTTGAAGTTTGTGGTGAAAGTTGTTGAAGTGGTATTCAAAGTATTGGTGGGCACTTGCAAGTGCTTGGTGAATTGCTGCAAGTGCATGATCAAGTGCGGAAAATGGTGTCGTGGGCATCCTGTGGAGGACGGAAGCGATCCAGACACTAAGAGGAAGGCGAGGCGGCAAAAACGGAAGGGCCACGGAAAGGACAGTGCAAAAGGAACCGCAAGGAAGAGGAGTCCGAAGAAGGCGAAACGAGGGAAGGATGATTCGGCGGCCAAGAAGGGAGCACGTGGAACAAGGGAGAACAAAAAGAAAACTGGGAAAGGGAGGGAGGACAGGAAGAAAGCAAGAAAAGGGAAGAAGGTTGAGAGTGAGGACACAGGGACTGATGATGATGAAGATGATGGTAGTGATGATCACGAGGATGATGATGAAGATGATGAGAGTGACGATGACGAGGAACAGGAGGAAGACGAGGATGATGATGATGATGATAATGATGGTGGCAGTAATCGTCATAAGAAGACAAAGAACACAACGAAAAAGAAGAAGACCAAGGAGTTGGATGAGGCCAAAGGTCAGGACAAGGCAAAAAAGGCCAAGGGTAAGAATAGAGAACCGGGGGATAGAAAAGGCGGAAAAGCCAAAGTGCATGGTCAATTAGAAAACCAGGCATATATGCCATACTCAGTTCAGGAAATGGGTTTTCCGACGGGGCATCCACCAAGTGCTGCTGAATATAACCTAGCTCAACTTGGACTATCCAACACGGCTATTGTGGTACCGAACGAATGGCAATCCGGTCCGTACCAGAGCGGCTGGGAATCGTCTTTCAGTCCCAACACCTGGGCTCCTCATGCTGCAAGCAATTACCAAGACCCTACATATTTTGTTGGAGCAAGCGGTGATGATGGGACCGGGATGTGGACAGGCGGTGGCACCTGGTTTACAGAGGAGCAGATCCTGAGACTGTCTGGAACAGAAATCACGGTTTACCTAAACATTGAGGTGCATCACTGTCCTTTTCTTCTTATCTCCCACTATACCCTCTTTTTTTTTCCAGTTTTCTCTTCAACACATCCCTTATATCTCCTTATCATACTTGCAAGCGGACGCCGTCCGGGCGGTTCCGCACGTGTGGCAGACTGCCGGACCGGACCCGCGCGGCGCACGAATGTCCGCCCGACGACCAGTTACGCCCCCCCCCCCCCCCCACC